TCAGATGACAGTACCTGGCTGAGGCCACACATCTGGCCAGTGGCCGAGTACGATTCTAAACTAGGTCTACCTGTTACTGAAACCACATGGTCTTTCCCCATTCTGTGCCACCAAGAGAGGGAAACATTGATCACTCTCATCCAGCACACCATGAATCACTCTGTACCTGAGAGCAACCACCTGCGATTTCACTTTATAATAATGGTAATGCTAATGTCAATGTCCCACTACTGGGTCCCTATGGTTCTGGGTAAGAACACCATGGTGGCTCGGTGACAGTGTCATTGAGCAGGGCCACAAATCACCCTCTACATCCAGATGTCTTCACCCTCTTATGGCAGAAGAAGTCATGTTTGCCTGGAGAACTCCAGAGGTCACACTCTACTAAAAGCCTCACAAACCTGGCCTCCACTGGACAGGCCCACTGATGTGGAGTGGCCCATACCTGAGATTGCACCAGGGTGCTGAGATGTTCCTGTGGTCAGCACCCCAGGAGTCCTCCGCCAGGGTAGGCAGCTGTGTGGCTGTGGGAGCCATTGAATCAGCATCTCCTCATTTGTGAAATGACAGGTTAGATGAAATCGCTGCCTCTAAATTTCTAGGCCTAGATCTCTGATTTGATCTTTGGCAAGGCACTGCAAATCTGAGAGATAAGTTACTAAGGATTTACAAATTATGAACTTTTAAGATTCACAGATAATTTTGGATTTGGAAATTATTTTTGAAATGCTATGCTGTTGCAAGTGTTGGCATTTTGCATTAAATAACTTCACAGTTATATATGTGTAGCTACAATGGGAATAACAAACTGTCAAATTAAGATTCTAAGATGATGAGTTGTGGTTACTTTTGTCTCAGTCGAAATGTCATGCTAACATCAGGTCTTATTCATTCACAGAGTTTCGTGATACTCGATACGGCTGACCGCCCCTTCCTTCTTCTACCCCCCTCTTCTCTTCCCTCTCCAGTGTGGTCTCCTAGTTGTCCTGCCTCTTCAACACCTCCTCCACCTTGTATGTGAGCTCCTCCTCTGCTCCTCTCTCTGACAGTGACTTCCTGGTGCGCTCTCTCTACACACAGTACATGAGTGACCTTCTGCACTCCCAGGGTGCCAATCACCTCAGATCTACAATCCTAGCCTGGATCTCTGGCCAAGCTTCAGAACCAGCCACTCGTTCACTGTGGATCCAGGTCCCTTGGGTGTCCCACGCTTAGTGGGTTCCACACTGAGCTCATTATCTTTTCCCCAAACATGCTTCTCTTCCAGTTGGTCCCTAACTCAAGGGATGACATCAACACTCACCAGCTGCAGGAAGGTGCCCCCACAAAGAGTAGACTAAAAACTATCCTAGGCAATAAAAACAAAATGGGAGGTATCAAACTACAGGACTTCAAACTATACTACAAGGCTATAGTAATGATAACAGCTTGGTACTGGCACAAGAACAGGGACATTGACCAGTGGAACAGAACTGAGAACCTAGATATAAAATCATCCTCATATAGCCATCTAATCTTTGATAAAGCAGAAAAAAACATACACTGGGGAAAAGAATCCTTATTCAATAAATGGTGCTGGGAAAACTGAATAGCCACATGTAGAAGACTGAATCAGGATCCACACCTTTCACCTCTCACAAAAATCACCTCATGCTGGGTAACAGATTTAAACCTAGGGTGTGAAACTATTAGAATTCTAGAGGAAAACATTGGAAATACTCTTCTAGACATTGGTCTAGGCAAAGAATTTATGAGGAAGACCCCAAAGGCAATCACAGCAACAACCAAAATATTTAAATGGGACCTGATCAAATTAAAAAGCTTCTGCCAAAGAAACTGTCACGAGAGCAAACAGACAACCTACGGAATGGGAGAAAATTTTTGCATGCTACACATCCGATAAAGGACTGATAACCAGAATCTATTTGGAACTCAGGAAAATCAGCAAGAAAAAAATCAAAAAACCCTATCAAAAAGTGGGCAAAGGACATGAACAGAAACTTTTCAAAAGAAGACAGAATAATGGCTAAGAAACATATGACAAAATGCTCAACAACTCTAATCATCGGGGAAATGCAAATCAAAACCACAGTGAGATATCACTTATCTCCAGTGAGAATGGCCTTTATCAAAAAGTCACAAAACAATAAATGTTGGTGTGGATGCAGAGAGATAGGAACACTCAGACACTGCTGGTGGGACTACAAACTAGTGCAACCTCTGTGGAAATCAATATGGAGATACCTTAAAGAGATACAAGTAAATCTACCATTTGATCCAGCAATCCCATTACTGGGCATCTACCCCAAAGAACAAAATACATTCCATAAAAAAGACACCTGCACTCAAATGTTTATAGCGGCACAATTCACAATTGCAAAGATGTGGAAATAACCCACGTGCCCATCAATACGTGAGTGGATTAATAAAATGTTGTATATGTATACCATGGAGTACTATTCAGCTATAAGAAACAATGGTGATATAGCACTTCTTGTATTATCCTGGATAGAGCTGGAACCCATTCTACTAAGTGAAGTATCTTAAGAATGGAAAAATAAGCACCACATGTACTCAACAGCAAATTGGTTTCACTGATCAACACCTAAATGCACATATAGGAATAACATTTATTGGGCATCGGGCAGATGGGAGGGGAGAGGAGGGGATGGCTATATACAAACATAAGGAGTGCGATGTGCACCATCTCAGGGATGGACATGCTTGGAGCTCTGACGGGGGGGTGCGGGGCAAGGGCAATGTAACCTAAACATTTGTACCCCCATAAAATGCAGAAAAAAAAAAAAACTGGATGTGGAGCCAAAAGCCTACTTGCCTCAGGTGCTAAACAAGACACATTCCTAAGTACAGTCGGGTGCGTGGAAGGGGGCTGTGGCCACACTGAGGGTTGCAGGCCAGTCTGCAGGGGCAAGAGATACCTCATCCCAGCTGATGACAGCCTCGTGGTGCTTTGGACTCTGGCTGTCAAAGTGGGGGCTTTTGTGAAAGCAGCTAGAAAGTTGTGTCAGGGTTGATTTTTAGAGGGTGTTGTCCTGGTTCTTTGGCTCTTGGCTTGGAAGAATCACAAGCTGAGCTGGTGTGATGGAGAGATTACAGTCGCTAGCATTTCCACACAAGCAGTTTTTATTTCAGCTTGTCAGCATAGAATAGAAAGCAAAAGTACATTTCCTGAGGGCAAACGGGTCTATCTCCGCGAGTGGAGAAGACGCTCGGTCTTACTACATTTCTACTTTTATGTCTGTGCCTGACGATATACTAAATGGTGGGTGGAATATTCATTACTGTCCTGGGACAAGGGTGGAGAGTTCTTAGAGCTAATGGCCCTCCTCAATTTTGTCCTTACAGAGTAACTTCCAAGGGTTGTCATGCATTTGTAAACTGTCATGGCGCTAGTTGGTGCGGTTTTTACTACGCTAATGTATGTTAATGGGGAAAAAGTCACCTTTGGACATGAGCTCCTAGTTTCTGCGCATGCTTCTGGCCAGGAAAAGTCCCTAACGCAAGTTCCTGCTGTTGTGGTTAGGTTCTAAATGCTCACTGGCCTCCTCATTTTTGCCCCCCTCCTCTTTTCCTGTGGTTAATGCTGCCCACATACACTTGTCCCTAACAGTTGGACTACAACATGAAATCTCTACATTTTTAAATGTTGATAATTAATCAGATTTAAAACAAAACAATGTGGACTAAACAAAATATGCATGGTGGGCTGTTATTTTGCAATCTCTGTTCAAGATCAGTGGTCTCTGCTTTTATTCAACAACTATTTTTTAAAAACAAATGAAATTTTTAGCTGTTTGGAAATCTGATTCAGCTAGTCACGACTGCATAAAAATTTCAAAAATTACATTTCTTCATCTCTACAATAATGTGTGTATTGTAAATACACTAACCAAGCTGATGGCAAAATCTTTAAGAGACCCAAAATATTTCCCTGAGAGCAAATGGTACAGGCTGTAAACTACTCATGACAATCCATTATTTCCTGTGATATCGAGGGTGTTAAATCTGGTGTTTTGCGTCCAAATGGACATAAAACTGCACTTCACGGACTGAAGGCAGAAGGCCTAGCCTCAGCTGTACCTGCTGTTGAGTCTGTTGACTTCTGTGGCTCCCCAGCAATTACACCTTGGCTTTCAAGTTAATTTCCATCACACCTGATTCTATCACATAAAATAGATGAAATATATTTTTCATGTAAATTTATTTTCACAATTTCAAATTTGTAAGATTTATTTTCAAAACCAATCAATCAGAACAGTAAAACCTTTATAAAAATTGTTGCCTTGGCATCCAATTTATTTGCATTGATTTGGTTTGTTTGCGCCGAAAAATTCTTCTAAGAAGTTGTCAGCTTTGGAACTTTCAAAATTTGTAATAAAGCTCTACCTAAAACAAAGCAAGTCAACTTTCTCCAGCACCATGACTGTATGTGTAATCCCAGCATGTTTTTTCAATACAAAACAGTAAGAATCTTGAGAGAACTGGTAAAGAAACAAAAGTGAAATCACCTCCACATAGATGTATGTACACTGGTTGAGTATATAGAGTTACTTTGGCCTTCTAAACACCTGGATTTAAAAACAGGCATTTGCTATTAACTTATTCATAAGTACTATAGAAGAGCTTCTGTAGTTGAAAACATCTGTTTAACCACACCTTATCCTGCTATCTCATGATTTTCTTCCATTGGAAAGAGATAGCAAGAGAGGCCTTATTGTCTGTTATGCAGAAAAACAAGGTCATGCATGGTGGTCTTCGGTGTGTTAGAATCTGGTGTACAACACAGTTCATTGTGCATTTTAATTATATTATAGCGTTTATGAAAATATTAAGGCATATGTAAATGTGAATTATGAATAATATACTCATTGAATGTCTAAACCATATTCATAAGACCGTTATTTCTGCAGCAAACTGTCAGTGGGTCTGGCTAAGTCAATGGCCCAGGCAGGCAGGGCTGAAGGTGACATTCTACTCACCAATGAGGTACATGCCAATCCAGTCGCCAGCATCCACCTCCTCCTTTATGTCCCAGTGGATCACCAGGTCCTGTGAATGTCCTATGGAGTAGTAGGAGCTGCTGACCATGAGTGTGGAGCGGCTGTCTGAGGTGACCAGGTCGGTGTCGCTGGTGGAGCGGGGAATGGTGACGCCATCGTGGGGGCCACCCCTGATGTCCATGTTGTGGAACTGGTCGGGGTTGTAGCTGTAGCGGAGTGGCTCCTTGCACCGGCGTCGGCTCTGGGAGTTTCTAGATGGAGACGCCATGGCGGCCAGGCCTAGAAACCTGTTCTGGTACAGATTCTGTGGGAGCAAAGAGAGTGATCGGGGTCAGGACGTGCGGCAGCTCAGCCACTGTCTTCACACGAAACAAAAGATGTGCTGCGGAAACGAACTGTGAGTGAGCTGCCCTGCTGGGCCGATTTGAAACACAACGTAGAGCATCTTTCTTGTGCCAAAGGCTGCAGCTCTGCTCTTCACGCAGGGACGGCAAGAACAAAAATACGAGCGCACCAAGGTGCCCTGCGTCTCCATGCTCTGCTGGAGTCTCTGCCTCTCCCGGCTGCCTCTAACCTACTGGATACCAGAAAGACTGGCAAGTGTAGAATGGCCCTGACGATGTGACTGCCCCCAAACAAAGTGCCATTGCTTGAGGGCTCTGACATCAATTAGATTGGCTCTGATTTTATCCTTCTTTAGGGCAAATGATCCTCGTTAAATGTAGTGATCCATGCAGCATTCAGGTCCCTACACACACTCCAGGATTAGAGGTGGTTCCTGCTGGGGGAGTGGGCACTCCTCCTCCACGTACAGCCCTTGCGCTGCGCTGTACTGAATGACTCCAGACCGTCTGGAATTTCTGTTAAGGATTTCAGACATCCTAGTAATCTAACAACACAATTTTCAATAAAATCCAATCTCGGAGGACTGCGTCTCCCTTGAAGCCAATGTTATCGTAGAAGACATTGCATATGATGAGGAAAAACATGAGTTTTTTTATTGTTTACAACCTTGAGCACTTAAAATGAGCTGAGAGAATGCTTACCAATAACTTGTTTTGGGTACAGATAACTTTGAAAACACAGGAGGGAAGGCATCACATAGAACTCATAGCGATTCATTTTTGAAACAAGCAAGGGTGATTCTGTCTTCATCACTAAAATTGAGATTTATTTATTTATTTATTTATTTATTTATTTTTTGCTCTGTTGCCCAGGCTGGAGTACAGTGGCATGATCATAGCTCACTGCAGCCTCTAACTCCTAGGCTCAAGCAATCCTCCTGTCTCAGCTTCCCGAGTAGCTGAGACTACCGGCGTGAACCACTATGCCTGGCTAATTTTTTTTAAAAAATTTTTTGTAGAGATGGGGTCTTGCCAAGTTGCTCAGGTTGGTCTAGAACTCCTGGTCTCAAGCGATCCTCTGGCCTTGGCCTCCAGAGTAGTTGGGATTATAGGCGTGAACCACTGTGCCTGGCTGAAAATTGGGATTTAAATGGACATTTTGGGGGTTCCCAGCTATTAAAGCACATGCTGTTCTACAACTAGCTTTCAAGAAGAGAAAATTAAGACCTAAAAAAGTATTGAATCATGCAGTTTAGATCCTAGGGACTGTAACTTACGCAAATCAATCAAATGCAAGTAATTGACTTTTGTTTACCAGCCATGAGGACCAGATCCCAGCAACAGTCTACTCTTTAAATTATATGTCTATTTAGCAGTGATTTAGGCCTGCACTTTTTCTATCCTCCAAGACCAGGGCATTGTAAAAAGTCTATCATTAACCTGATTAAGCACACAGTATTGGCATTCTGAGTCTCAATCCTTAATGGCCATGGGTCAGGTCTTTTCATTCATTATTTGTGTCTCTTGTTAGGAATTCCTCCGGCCCTACTGGTGGTAGCCGTAGAATTACTATAGGCAGAAAAGCCAGACTCCAAAAAGCATCTTATCATACTATTGGGGCTATATTTCCCATTTTTTCAAAAATGCTCTTCACTACAACAGTATGAAAATAGATGGACCATCGTGTTGCCTGGAAACCAGCTCTCCTCCCAGGAAGACAGGCAAAGCACTGAAGCCGAGGGAGGCATGAGCCACCCACCCATCTCAGGTCCCTGCAGCTATCCTGGGCAGTTCAGGGAGGATCTCAGTAAACTGACAATCCTCTGGGAGGCCCTGGCCAGAGACCTTTGTAAAATCTCTCGAACAGAAAGGCTGCTGCCAGAGCATAAAGTTTCTCAAGTTCACACATACTTTAAATGGACTAGTAACATTTTATAGTATTATACAGATTAAAAATTACTTGGAATTAAATGAAATAGTCAATATATGAGTTAGACCAAACCATGATCAAAGCAGGTGCAGCACCTACCAGCTTACCAACCATGCACCTGTTCCTGGACAACTTACTCTTTCTGGACCTCAGTTTCCTTTTTTGTAAATGGGTTGTCATCAGAATTTAAGGAGACAGTGCACATCAAGTTCTTAGTATGATAAGTGCTCAATAAATAAAAATATACTACTAAAATACTACTGATATTGCTTTAGGAAGGAAGCCTCACTGAAACCTAGGGCCTGGGCAGTCAGCCAGGCTCAGTCACTGACCAGATATCCTTCATGTCATCCCAGAGTCCTCACGCTTAAATGCATACATTAAATTCAAGACACCCTCCAGGTTTTCTTACAAAATTGAAATTGCAAGTGTTAAACAGTCTAGCGTATTTGTAAAGGTGTTTCAAATGCCAACTTTTGGTGGAGGGGCTGCTTATAATATTTGTAAGGTTTGTGATCGAGCAGGATAATTTTGCATTAATGTTGAGGAGCCCGAGAGAAAGATTTTTATCCATGTGGTTTCGATCGGGGCTCCAAAAAGATTATAGCGTGTTCCTCGTTTGTTGAAGAAAACAATTCTGCTGTTGTATTTTTACCAAAATTGCCTGGAAACCAGGCAACTCTCCTGAAACTGTTAATTACACCAGTGATCACTGTCCACATGGTGACAACAGAGGTATAGAAGGAAACATGAGTCAAAGAGGACATTTGTCAAAAATTGCTAGATTGGAATGATGACATTTGCCTGGAATAAGCGGGGCAGCCTCAAAGCGGTGCCTTGACGACCACACTCACCCACCCACCCTGTCTTCCCACACATCCTCCTCATTCAGACTTGTAGGCAGGACCGGTACTTAAGCTTCACAATTATGCTCCAACACCAGCTCTGCTGAAAGCTCTCCTCGCCTCCTTCCCGTTCCCAAGACAGTGGGACTTTCTGCCCCGCGAGCCCCAGGAATCCCATCCCCTGCAAGGGTTCTTGTGGCATTCTCGCTAGTTGACCTGTCCACGTTCACTCCCATGCTGTGAGGTTTTCTCCTTTTTCTATCCCCTGTGTCTGGCAGAATTTTTGGCACAAAAAGGCTCTCAAAACTTTAATTCATAGCATTTATTTTATGCAATGATATCCCTTCTTGTTCCAGAAAGGGTTTAAGATGGCTTATAAAAACAGATAAAATACCAAAACATGATAATTTAGTAGTAGACGGTACAGAGAGAGAAGATAAAGATAGGAACAAAAAGTTACGTAATGAAACTCTATTCCATCATGTCAACAGGTGTTTTTGTTAAAGACTCACAACAGTTGCTTCATTTTATTTTTAATGTCCCAGCTTTACTGAGGTATAATTGACAAATAGAAATTGAATGATTTTTAAGGCGTACAATGTGATGATTGATATACACACATTTTGTAAAATGATTACCACAATCGAATTAGTTAACACCTCTATCACCTCACCTAGTTATCCTGTTTTTAAATTCTGTTCTGTTTTGTTTTGTTTCGTGGTGAGAACGTTCAGGCAGATTTCAACAGTTGCTTCTTGACAGCAGCAGGTGGACCGGCTCCCTCGCCCTACGTGCAGCTTCTTCGCAGCCACGTTTTTCCCAGTGTTCCCGGCATACACTATAGACTCATTGGGCTGGAAGAAGCAATTTAATCATTCTGTCTTCACAGCTGAACCGTGGGAGATAGATGAAGATCTGTCCTGGTTTTAAATAGCCCTGGATAAAAGGCCACTCTCTTCCAATGTTTTACAAGCCCGTCATTCTTCCTAATCTCTAAGGCAAATCTCATCTCACAGAAGACCTCTTCTCTTCCGTCTCTGCAAAGGGGAGGGGCGGCCCTTCCAACTCTGTGTGTGAAGGGGACGTCACGGGCATCAGTAAATTGCTCCCAGCCTTTTCTCCATCCCACGGATTAACTGAAGTGTCTTTTACCTTCTCTTACCTTTGGTGACAGGCAATATGAACTGATAAGAGGACCACAGGAATAGCAGCAATGGTTTGAATAACGCTGTAATTTTCCAATTATTGGTTGTAACCACGGGGCCCTAGTTATGGGCTATGTTAAGCACAGATTTTTAATTGACCCTTGAAAAGTGGGTCTGATGAGTGAGCGCTTGAAAACAATCTAAACACATTGTACAAAGAGCCCCATTTTATACGGAGTAAAATGCCATCTGCTGGGTTTTTTCCTTTTTGTAGTAGAGGATACAACAATGCTTTGTTTACTTGTTTTGCTTCCAAACTTAAATAACATCGTAATTGTTGAAATGTTTTGAATTAAGTGATATGTTCTTAGTTTGTTGTTGTTTTTTTAAATCTTGGAACAGGCCTTATGTGTTTAATATGTTTTAAGATACTAGTATAGCACATTAGCAAAAACAAAATCTTCTGTAAGAATATAGAATCTTAAAAGCAGAAAATCATCACATCTAGGGAGGGAACTTGTTATTATGCATGGATTTTTTTTTTTTAAGAACCCAGAGACAAAAGATTCTGCTCTGTCAGTTTCTATCTGACGAAGTCATTAATAGCTTTCTGTTTTGGAATACAAAGCCGTGAGTAAGTGCCATCTCAGAAATGAAAAGAAAGCAGACAAAGGCATATATATAATAGAGAAAATGATTCTTAAAAATTGCCTCTACACAAAGAAATAAAAAATTATAAGTGAAAAATATAGGTCTTTATTAAAGGAAACTTCATTAAAGTATACAAGATGAGGTAATAGAAACCATCATTATTTAGTGGGAAGAAAGAGTATAATAGTTTTTGAGTCCATGAGCAGATTTTATTTTGATCCAGTAGATGCCTGAAGCTGTTCTACTCTGTACTCGGCTCTGGTTATGTCACCAGGGGGTAATGGAACTTAAAAAAAAAAAAAACCCAAGACTTTCCTTTTTACAAAGGATTTGAGAAAATTTACAACAAAAGAAATGTACAATGAAGTAGGGAAATATAAAACAGACAG